CGCTAATTTGGCATACAGGGTTAAAAAATTAAGGCTTTTTATCATATCGAAAATTTTTGTCTCTTAAAGTGATAAAGTTAGAGTTCTTTTCCCGCATTTGCTTGTTCTTTTTCAAATAATATTGTCTCTTTCTTTTGAATATTTTACTTATTTGGACTTATCTTATCTTATTTTCATAAGCGTAGTGAGGCAGGATGGCTGTTCTTATGAAATTATAATTTCACCATCAGGGACAACTGGTAGCTAGCCCATTAATGAGGTATGAAAATGGTATAACATATCCTTCTATTATAACTGCTGACACTGATGAATTGCATGTTATTCAATTTAACAAACGGGAAAATGATATGGGGTACTTAGATGTGGAGAAATGTGCATGTCGAGTCAATAAAAAGGACCATTTTGATTTATTAAGTATGAAGTTGATGTGTTAGAATTTTGCAAAGACCTTCATGATGGAAATTTTATTGATATTTATTTATGTCACAATGTTAATATACCATGTGTTGATATTGAATCGGATGAAATGTTAAGTACTGGTGTGGACCTAGTGATATAGAAGCTGACCTTGTTGCTGCTAGACAGACCAAAGTAAATCAGAAGAATTGAAAAGAGAGATCTAGTGATGTTAATGTAGATGGGCTACCTAATGGCCCAGTAGGCATTGACCCTAGATTTGAAGACATTTACAAGGACAAAACTGCTAAATATTTTGGCAAATTAGGAAGGGATAAGCAGTACCTAGATAGTTCAGATTCAGGGAGTGAGGATAGTACTGATGATGATGTAGATGTAAATGATGAGGTGCATAACCTTCCTCCAAGAAGATACAACAGAAAGGTCTACTTTGACCCTAACTACAAGAAAATTATTTTCCAACTGGGAATGGGGACACTGGATTTGAGATCCAAGATGGAATTTACCAACACATAGTTGATTTTGTAAAAAAGAGTGCACATGTAGAATGTGGCAGCTGAAAGGCATACCCTGCTCCCATACACTTTGTGCAATTTTTTTTAAAAAGGTATGACACTGCTGACTATGTTGAGCATTGGTATAAGAAGGAAACATATCTCAAGGAATTCAATTGTTACATAACAACCTATGACCAACATAGAGATGTGGCCTCCAACCCAAAACCTCAAAGTTGAGCCTCCTGTAATTACTAAGATGCCTGGTAGACTAAGAAACATAGAAGAAAGGCTCAAGATAAACCTACAAAGAAATTTGGTAAGAGATCAAAAGAGGGGACACTAATGACCTGTTCTCATTGCAAGACAGCAGGACATAACAAGAAAGGTTGTGCAATCCTAGTAAGAATCAAATACTTCTTATGCTTTAAGTATTTTTGGCCTTTTGCTGAATTTTTATATTCTGGTATTTTAGAAAGGGCAAAGTTCAACTGTTGGTGCTGGGAGTAGTACTGTAAAAGCCCAGGCAACAATAGCTTCATCAAGAGATCATTCTGGTACTACTGCTGGCGGTGGCAACACAACAATCTGCTACTATTGCAACGGCTAGATCTACAATACAAAAAAATTCTAAAACTACTGCTGATGGTAGATCAGGAACACAACAATCTGGAATTACAGAAGAAAGATCAAGGACACCTCAACAAATTCTTATAACTTTAGGTGGAAAGCCTAGGCCTAGGACTGTTGGATTTGGATACAGTTTGGCGAATCAGGGACAATCATAGAGAGGGTAAGTATGTGAATTCTTTACAATTGTTGTGTCTAATTACTATACTAAGTTCTAAATTATATTTCTATTTGAGTGCAATTTGGGTTGAGGGACAGAGTCACACATGATCCTAGGCAAACAATTGATGCTAGCTAGACCAATATTAATCTTGGATATAGAGCACCTGGACTAAGGTGGAAAGGAACAAATGCAGTAACCCAAAGGCAGCTTCAACAACAGGCTAGAATGAGACAAACTCAGGCAACCCTAAGCCAATCTGAAGCTCCTTCTTCAACTCAGCCAAACCCGAGCCAATCTCAGTCCAACTTCAACCTGTCTCAACCATAATGATTTGAAAAAATATTTCTTTTTGTGAAAGTTTAAGTCTGTCAGTATTAGAACTTATTCTTAGGTCATTTTGTGGAAGATTTAGTCTAAAATATTAAGAACTTAGTTCATGTTAGTTTGGTTTGGTTTTAGACACAACCGTAAATTGGTTTCTGCTAGTGTGAAGATTTGATGGCCTACTATCGATAATCAAAATGGTTGTTTTGAACTTGTCTAATATATATTCAGATGTTAATGTCAAGCATAACTTTTCATTGCAGCAAAATACTTCATACACTTGACATTGTCATTGTTTGTTAACAATAAACATACAATACAAAGATTGTAAGCTAAGAATAACACTACAAAGAGCAGTGCAGCAATAACAAACGTAATTACATATTGTTTTCCCCTATTCCTTCGCTACTCATTGACGCAAATTCTTGATAGCAGCCCCAAAATTACTTGTTTGTAATGATCTGGAAGAGGTGGGACAACCCACTTGAAAAAATCACAGTAACTAGTTGTACCATAATTTGAGCATCCTAGAACCTTCTACCCAAATTGGTGGGATTCCATGTTATGCACACAACAACATCAACTCCACAATGATAAACTACCGGACTTTTCATTGCATTCTTGGCCTAAAGAATAAAATATCGACTTAGAGAAAAAAAATACTTGAATCTGTAAAAAAAATTGAAGAGAAGAAATGCTACAGAGCTTGTATGCGTCAATAATGGAGGTTGTAGGCCAAATAAGGAAGAAGAAGCCCTCTAAATAGATAGGACCTTGTGTTTATTACCATTGGGCACTGAAAAAACTTATTCACGCTCCTGTCAGGCGTGTATTACATGCACAGCAGCTGACTAGGAATAACTGATGCCACGTAGATTGAGTAATAGGTCGGAGATTCTTATTAGTTCACTTATACTCAAGTTTAACTGTTCATATTGGAATTTTGAAAGTTCATTTAATGACATGACAATTGGGTACAAGTTTAAGTGACTAGGAGGCCATTTTGCTAATTAGAAATATTGACTAAACTTTGACTTTTGTGAAAATGATCCCGGAACTGTGTTATGATAACTTCGATAGCTCTGTATCGTGATTTTGGACTTGGGCATATGCCAGAATTGATTTTAGAAATTCGTAGGTTGAATTGTATTTATTTGACAAAATTTGGCAACTTAAAGTTGAAAGATTTGGCTATAGGTTAAATATTAGCTATCGAGCTCAAAATTTGATTTTGGGACTTGGAATACGTCTGTTATGCTATTTAGAACTTTTTTGCAAAATTTAGTGTGGTTTGGATTTGATTTGATAGGATTCAGACATTTAGTTATAATTCTAGAAATTCTTGAACTTTACTTTAAAATTCATGCGTTCTAGAGTTCAATTCGTGGTTTTAGATGTTATTTTTGTGTTTTGGGCATGCGAGCGAGTTTGTATGATATTTTCAGACTTGTATGGATGTTTGGTTTGGAGCCTCGAGGGCTCAAATGAGTTCCGAATATGTATCACAATAGTTTTGAAGTGAAAATGTGTTGCTGGTGCTCAGTTATCGCAATTGGGAGCACCAGATTCGCAATTGCAAAGGTGACAGTGGGGGCTCAGATGTCGCAATTGCGACTTCCCTTTCGCATTTACAAAGTCATCAAGATTTGGACTAAGTTCGCTTTTGCAAAGTTCCCAGTTTCACAATTGCGAAGCCTTTTATCGCAAATGTGATGTTGATTTAGATTGTTAGGGTTCGTAAATGCGAGCCCTAGTCTGCAATAGTGAGGGTTCACAAATGCGAACCCTGTGTCGCAAATGTGACACTTGCAGCTGGTACAAAAGGCCGGGCGACGGGATTTTTGAAAACATTCTCTCATTTTTTAACCCTAGACTCGGTAGGAGGCGATTTGTGTAAGTGATTCTAATCTATTTCTGATCATATTCCATTAATATATCTTAGATTATAACATCAAAATCATGTGAATCAAAGTGAAATTTTGTGAAAAGGTTATTTTTGAAAAATAAGAATTTGAGTTTTAAGAGTCGATTTGGACTCGAATTTTGAAACTAATCACATATATGAACTCGTCGGCCCATGGGTAGTCGGAATCTACCATTGGACCCGGGTTTTGACCGGGCGGGCCTTGGATTGTCTTTTGTTGACTTTTTGGGAAAAGTATAAAGATCATGGCTTTTTCTATTGTAATTGATTTCTCTTGCATTGTTTGATGATATTAAGTCGATTTTGGTTAGATTTGAATCATGTGGAGGAGAATGTTAGGGGAAAAGCTATTTTCGAGGTTGAGCTGGCCTAGTTGAGGTAAGTATCTTACCTAATTTGTATGGGGAACTACCCCTTAGAATTGGTATTGATTGATTCATTTGTGCTATGTGAAAGCCATAGCATAAGACAAAATTACGGTAGAACTGTGGAGGTATGTGGGAAGAGCAGGGTTGGAGTGGCTGACTGGGTTATTTAATAATTTTTAGGATGAGGAGGATGCTGGATGAGTGGAGGTGGAGTACGGTGGTTCCTTGTATAAGAACAAAGATGATATCTAGAGTTGTAATAACTATCGGGGTATCAAATTACTAAGTCTTACCATGAAAGTTTGCGAGAGGTTGGTAGAAGTAAGGGTGAAAAGGATGGTGCCTATATTCGATAACCAGTTCGGGTTTATACTGGGTTGTTCTACTACGTAAGCTATCCACCTTATTAGGAGGTTGGTGGAGTAGTACAGGGATAGGAAGAATGATTTGCACATGGTGTTTATTATTCTAGAGAAAGCTTATGACAAGGTTACTTGAGAGGTTCTTTGGAGATGCTTGGAGGCAAAAGGTGTGACAATTGCCTACATTAGGGCGATTAAGGACATGTATGATGGAGCTAAGACTCGGGTTAGGAAGGTAGGAGGTGATCAGAGCATTTTCTGGTTGTTATAGGGTTACACTAAGGATCTGCGCTCAGTCTGTTCTTATTTTCCCTAGTGATGGATTCACTAACACACCATATTCAAGGTGAGGTGCCATGGTTTATGTTATTCGCTGACGACATAGTTTTAATTGATGAGACGCGAGGCGGGGTTAAGAGGCTAGAGGTTTGGAGACAGGCCCTTGAGTCTAAGGGTTTCAGGCTGAGCAGGACTAAGATAGAGTACCTGGAGTGCAACTTCAGTGCTGAGCCAAGGGAAGCGTACATGAACGTGAAGCTTGAATCACAGTTCATCCCCAGTAAAGGCAGTTTCAACTACCGTGGGTCAGTTATCCAGGGGTATAGGGAGATCAACGAGTATGTCACAAACCGTATTAGGGTGGGGTGGATGAAGTGGAGGTTAGCATCTAGAGTCTTGTGTGACAAGAAAGTACCACTGACACTCAAAGGTAAGTTTTATAGAGAAGTGGTTAGATCGGTCAGGGTGTATGGGACTGAGTATTGCCAGTTAAGAACTCGCATATCCAGAAAATGAAAGTAGTAGAAATGAGGAATTGAGGTGGATACGCAGACACACTAGGATGGATAAGATTAGGAATGATGATATTCGGGAGAAGGTAGGTGTGGCTCCCATTAATTTCAAGATACGGGAAGCGAGGATCAGATGGTTTGGGCACGTACAGAAGAGAAGACCAGATGTACCAGTGAGGAGGTGTGAGTAGCTAGCTTTGGAAGGCATGAAAAGAGGTAGAGGGCGGCCTAAGAAGTATTGGGGAGAGTTAATCAGGAAGGACATGGTGTGGCTTCAGATTTTTAAGTACATGGCCCTTGATAGGAAGCTAAGGAGGTCCGGTATTAGGATTGTAGGGTAGGAGGTAGTTGCGCCTATTTCTACTTCGTAACTATGAGAGGCTAGACTAATAGGATTTTTATCTTAGACTTCTAGTGGTTAATGATATGTTCTCACTGCTATTTCACTTTTCATAGCGTCAGGTCTATTTACTGGTTATTGCTATTGATTTTCATCTATTTTTTGATTTTTATGATGCTGTTATTATTCCTTTGGTTTTTGTTGATGTACCGATATATTGTTGTCACACCTCCTTTTTTACCGCGTCCACGGGAGGCGCGTAGGGAGTTTTCTCCAATTAAAGGACAGTCGAAACGGGATTTATTTATTTGTTTCAGAGTCGCCACCTGGGAATTTTAAGGCGTCCCAAGTCACCGGTTTTAATCCCTGAATCAAGGAGAATATGACTCTGTTTGTTATTCTGCGAACCAGACATCCTGAGTAAGGAATTCTGTTAATCCGGAAGAAGGTGTTAGGCATTTCCGAATTCCGTGGTTCTAGCACGGTCGCTTAACTGTTTTTATTCTTGGCTTAATTATCTCGATTTTACATTTTTATTGCATGATTTTGTTACCGCTTCTGTTTATTGTTTACAATTTATATAAACGAATTACGCGTACGTATATTCGTATTATATACCTTTTATAATTGTAGAGAATCGTGCCACGCATACGTGTACACAAAAAGGTTGATAATATTTTTATATTTTTATTATA